CAATTTCAGCCCTTGTTTGCATAAAATGACATTTTCGGCCCAATTTTTATAAAATTAACATTTTTGGTCCAAATCTTGAGATAGTGTCATTTTCAGCCCCTAATCTCGTCTATTCTCATTTTTTGGCTCAAGTTTTGATTAAATAACATTTTTATCCATATTGATATTTTTCGTAATTTGGGCCCAATAGGCCGTGAGGCCCACATTAAGGCCCAAATGCCAAATTTTACACTTTTGACCCTTAGAAAAATATGGTTGTTATAAAAACTAATTTTTAAGCCAATAATACCCTTTTAGTCCTTATAAAACCATAGGTTTCACTCTTTACCCCAAACTTTTGTTTATTTGACAAAAATAACCCCTACACAAGATTTTGTTTGGTTTTTCACAACTTAGGCATTTCTAACACTTTTAACTTTGTAGTATAGTGTCTAAAGTGTCTTTGTTTGTGATTCACGCTTATTTTTGTTATAGTTTTATATATCCATCGAGTTTGTCACCCAAACACAAACAAAAGCCAAGAAAATCACACATAACATGCATAAACACATAAATCTACACATAAATACTTGTATTCTCCCCCAAAAACAAGTGAAAACCGCAAACAAGGGGGTATGAACTCACCTTGCTTGTTTGATCTCGATTTGAAGAAGATATGAGTGTGTTTTCGGCCCTAGCAAGTCTTCTTTAGTAGATCTCGAGCTTGTGGGGGTTTCCTAAGAGTGTGATCACCAAAAATGTTTAGGAGAAGTGTTCTTAACATAAGAATGAAGTTATATAACTTGGACATGTAGGAACTTACCAAAGAAAGATGATTTTTGGTGGAAATCTCCTTGAACAACCCTAGATCTTCGAAAATTTGGAGAAGAGAGGAGGTTTTATAGAGAGAGTGTTCTTGAAAGATTTTTGAAAGAGAATGAGGTGGTGAGAGTGAGGTTCGGCCGAGAAGAAGAAGAAGAGAAGAGAGAGGGAGTGAGGTGATGTGCATGGAGATCTACCATGCAATAAAGAGGTGGCAAGCTCTCATAATTCCTCTAATTTCCCTTTATTTTTCTTTTCTTTTCCTCATTGGGCCGAGAATGGGCTTCAAGAGAAAGGAGGTGGATTAGCTTGGCCCATTTCTAGCCTTGGTTCGAAATTATAAGGCCCAATAATTACTTTTCGGGCCATTGGGCTCATTAGATGGTTCACGACCCATTTGAAAGAAGAAAGGGAGTTTATGGCCTATTAGGGCAAATTAATTCATTTATGACCCAATAAGGCCCATTAGGGTTAGAATGAATCATTCTAGGCCAAAATGGTCCAAAATATTATAGATTTATGAATTGGGTCTGTTTAGAATCCAAATAGGGTTTCCAAGTCCAATGTAGTTGAATTGAATGCTTATTGGCCCATTAGGCCCAATAAGGAAATCCTAGTCCATAATGAACTTGAACCAGGGTCTCTAGGGTTTTCAACTCCCCAGTTGACTATTTGGATACTTTGTGTAGAGTTTTGAACTTCACTTGTGAATCTTGATTAAGTTTGTGGTCATAGAATGAACATAGTGTATGATATCAAGTTAATGTTACAAGTATTATCATAGTTGATGTTTACATGATCACAGAATTCCCTGGAAAAAATGCCAGTTGTGACAAAGTGCAGTTGCCTTAGCCAAGGAACCAAGGGATCATGGAAGATCCATACACATCGACAGAAAATACCATTTCATAAGACATCGAATAGAAGAAGGGCTCCTCGTTGCAAAGAGGGTATCATCAGATGAGAACCCAGCAGATCCTCTCACGAAGGGACTGGGTAGGGCTAAGCATCTACAGCATGCGAGGCGCATAGGGCTGAAGGATGATATTAGTTTTAGTAGTTAGATGGCAATGAAATTTGTAAAGTGTAATTGACATTTGATGATAAATAAAAGTTGTTGTTTATTTATAAGTAAAGTGTTGCTATCTTCTGTCAATCGTTTACTATCATTTCATTTTTCATGTTTTGACTTCCAGAATAATTATGTTATGGTAGTATGTTGGAAGTAGATATGAATCAAGACTGTCATGAGTTGGATTGTAGATGTCTAAGATGTTGGACATAGCAAGAGTTGCTACAACACTCATGAGTGCTCATAAGTTCTGAGTATTGGATTCAACCCACACTCACTTTTATCACTTCATGGAATTTATCTCGAGTGATCGTGAGACGGTAATATCATATAAGTCTTCAAACCTAGATATATGAGTTGTTGACTATGAGTTGGTTATACATTGATTGTACGAAAACGCATTGGTAACTCGATGTTATAAAACATGCCTTTGTGTATAATTCAACAAGTAGTAGAACAAGCATATGAGTCAAAGTTTATCTGTTCCTTCTTGGATTAGAAGCGATATCTGGGCCCCTCGTTGATTTTGTTGTGACCTATGTACCGGGCCCGGTCATAACTAAATTGATGTGTTCGATTAAGTTCTATGTCAAACAAATCGGAAATCGGGAAACAAACTGCTGGACAATAAGTAAGACAATGTTCCATGTATTTGTCCGGCTGATATCCAGAACAGAGGATTATATGATCACTTATCTTAAATGACGTATCATCATCATCTCAGTTCCGCAATACCTTGAAAGAGCTACGATTGCTGATCGGTTCTTGAAGTCATACTTGCAGTTATAGTTATTAGACTTATCCAAATGAGAGATTGTTGGATAAGATGTCTAAGTCCATAACTATTTCTAGTATGTACTTGACCCGGTTGGCATGGTCCATTTGGGTTGCATGGCATTGCAATACTTAGATAGACCAAATGAGAGAAAGGACACTTAAGCTTTATTAATATATTATAAGTTCTAATATGTTAATAATATTATTTAATTAGTATTGATCAAGAATTAATTTGGAATTAATTAAGTGATCAAAAAGAGACTAATTAAATATATAGGGTTGATTGTGTAAATCATCTATTCTTCTATAGTGGGCTAATGATCAATGGTTTATATGAATTGGGCTAACACCCATAAGGTGCTCCATGGATAGTCCATGGAGTTTATAAACCCATGGATCATGGAATATGAAAATCCATGCACATTAGGGTTTACATGGAATAACCCTACATGTTGCACACTATATAAGAAGCCCTATGATAAGCAAAATCGGCCACTAAGTGAAGAACAAGAGGGCTAGCCGATTTTGAGTGATAAGTGTATTCTCTCAAGGTTATTCCAAGTGTTGTGATGTTGTGTGAAGCATTTGAGGCATCACACTTGAGGTGCTAGGCTCTCAAGGTTCTCAAGGAATCAAAGCAATAAGAAAGGTATGTTTTCTTACTAGTTCTTATGATTCAAGTTCCCCATGCCATGTTAGATAGGTTAAGAACCTTGGAAATCAAATTTGCATGTATCTTAGTAAAACATAGATCCAAGGTTTCTAGGGTTGCATGTACACCTTAGGAGTGTTAGAATGCTCAAAACCCTTCAGAAGCTTCACATAGAGGTATAAAGCTTCAAGCCTTCTCACTCTTTTGGTTTGTGCATTTATATGGAGTATTTTAGGGTTTTGTCCCAAAAGATGGAGACTTTATGAGATAAGGAGCTCCAGAGACCTTGATCAACCCCTTTTAATGTATTTTGTGGAATAAAGTCATAAAAATCCAAAGTCACCGACTTTATGGATTAAGAGATATTAGGGAGTCCAGATCTGTGATATGAGCCAAGGTCTTAACTGATGAAGACCAAATATGTGAGGAGAGTGAAACTGGGACTTACGCTAGGTGTAATCCTAGTACGCGCAACGTAGGGGTCGAGCATCCCCGATATATGCATGGCAGCTGAGTACGCCCAACATAGAGAGTTGGTACGCGCAACGTACTCTCTGCCGTTGACTTTTGGTTGACTTTTAGGGTTTTGGTCAACGTGTGGTCTATTGATCCATGGAGGGATAAAATGGTCTTTTACCCTTCTGTGAGTATTTGGAAGGGTTAGTCTGGCTTCATGAGATCAACTATTAATTAGGGATAATTATTGTGTGTGTTAGGCGGAGGCTAGACTGGTGATATGAGTTCAGGGTTATCCGATTCTCACGAGGTGAGTATTCTCACTATACTTTACCATAAGTGGTATTTTCGTGTGACTGAGATGTCTTATGTGCTTATCTGTGTATTGTGATATCCTGCATTATTTCTTTTTGATTTATGTTGTGTATTACTCAGAGTTTACAGAGTTAGGACCGGAGGGTCCACCAGAGTTGTGGGACTGGAGGGTCCCACTGAGACACATTGACCAGAGGGTCATACAGAGTTATAGCCACGAGTGGCTAAAGAGTTGTATGTGGTATTTTGGGGAAACTCACTAAACTTCGTGCTTACCGTGTTATATGTTTCAGGTACTTCCCAGGATCACGGGAGGGCGCCGACATGATTGTACACACACATCAGAGTTTGAGTTATGATTTAGAGGATCCTAGAGTTTGTTTTATATATAGTCTTTGATTATGAGATTTGATGATTGACATTGTGACATTTTGAGATTTTATTACTATGGTAAATGTTTCTTTTAAATTGAAAAATTTGGTTTGAAAATTTACGTCGTTACAATATATATATATATATATATATATATATATATATATATATATATATATATATATCTTATTGGTCTTTATTTTTGATATTTTAGTCTCTAGTAAAACTAATTTTTTATATTTAATATCTTAAATAATAAAATTATATAAAACGACGATGCATTTTTTTCCATGTCAAATTTAGAGTGTTTTATTTTTTTTAAACAAAGTAGTTTATTTTAAAAAGATATTTACCAAAATGGTGTGGTTTTAAAAATATTTACCATTTAAATTAAATTTTATACCAAATCAAAATTAAAAAGTAAAATAAAAAAAGAAATTGACTTATCAGAATAAATAACTCTTTGGTTTGTTCACGTAATAATTTTTTTTTTGTAAACATGTACATAAACAACTTTTTGAAAATGTGACATATGTATAGCCAATCATAAACATTTATCCTAAAGGAAATATCTCCACAAGGCTGAATTACGAAAACGGGTCTAAAACCTAAAGAAAGAACTCTGAACATCAAACATCTAAAGAAAAGCGGGCGGCGGTCTGAAACCAACCGTTTGAAGAATTTTCCAATGAAAGATCCGAAGCAGCTCAACCCCAACTGGGCGCAGCTTCGTCAAGTACTTTCCTTTCACTTTTTCCGCACCCACTATGCACACACATAATTTTTTGGCTTCATCTCTTTCATGAACTTGGTCGTCTGCAGAAATTAGGTTATGGCTCTGAACTATCCTCCAAGAAATCAGGAACAGAGACCAAAGAATCCATTTTAGGTTTGTGAATTTGCATAACCCAAATCGTTAATTCGTCACTTAATTGTCTATAGATTAATATTCAGCATATTTTTTTTATCCCCTTGTTTTTTTCTCAAATTTTGCTTGGAAAAATTTGAATTCATATCAATGTTGAACTCAAAGTTTGAATATTTTTAGGAAAATGGCAAGCAATTCTGATGAAATATCAGTTTACCCGTTTTCTTTTTGATTATGAGTGTAAGAATGTGCAAATTTTGTAGGAAAGCGCAAAGAGAGGTCTGATAATGATGAGGTCAGCGAACGTGAGGGGAATGTTCTTGCTCCTACTTCATCTGATTCAAGGTACACAATCTTTTTAAGCTATGTTTTTATTGTATATAAATGCACTAGTCGATTGCTATAAGGATTGCACTTCAACTAATTAGTAGCAATTTCACAGTATTACAGACGAAATAGCCATGGATTGTGAAATGGTTGGAGTAAGCCCTCTTGGAAACAAAAGCGCTCTTGGAAGAGTCACACTGGTAAATTAACAATTTCACTTTCATATTAGTCTTATACGTAATTATCATCGCTTATAGTTTTGACTTTTGACATTGATCCATGGTTAACCTAACCCTACAAAAGACTCCAGTCATCTTAGATGTTTCGTTTACTCAGTTTGAAAAGCTATATAGACAGTTTCCTTTTTACCCAATACATAAAGATAATTATTTACAAATTTGCCCTCATAAAGTCCTAATTTTTTACTAAACACAGGTAAATAAGTGGGGAAATGTTATATATGATGAGCATGTTCGTCCAGTTGAACGTGTAGTTGACTTTCGTACACAAGTCAGTGGCATTCGACCCCGTGACTTAAAAAAAGGTTCTAATTTGTTTTTTTTTTTTTCTATTCAACTCAAATTTTCAGGATTTTCATTATATTTACTTTAATTTACACAAGTTTATAATGCTATTTTCAGCAAAAGATTTCCGTGTTGTTCAGAAAGAAGTGGCAGAATTGCTCAAAGGGCGGATTCTTGTTGGCCATGCATTGCGTAATGACCTCAAGGTTATATGCAAATTCATATCTTAAAAACACAAAAAAAAAAAACAACTAAAAAAAGTTTCTTTCTTTCTTTTCTTCAATTTCACGGCTTTTTTCTAAGTTTTCTTTTTATTACAGGCCTTGTTATTAAGTCACCCGAAAAAGGATATACGAGATACCGCAGAGTATCAACCGTATTTAAAGTATTTCTTTTAAACCTTCTTTTAATTTGTTATATATATATATATATATATATATATATATATATATATATATATATTTGTGAAATCTTTATTCAATTGTTTGACACATTAAACCCTCATACATGATGCAGAGAAGGGCGTAAAAAAGCACTTAGACATCTTGCAGATGAAGTCCTTGGTGTCAAGATCCAAAATGGCGAGCATTGTCCTGTGAGTTCTGTTTCAAAGTCATTTTTTCCCATTTGGATAACCAACTATTTTCTTATTTTCTTTATTAATTAAGTCATTAGACTAACATTTTCATGTTAAATATGTCACTATATTCACAATTACTAACAAGTAATGAGTTGGTATACACATGTACAATCTTTATGTTAAAATATATCATGTAACTTGACATTTTTATGCCAATTAGGTCACTATATGTACAAATTTTTTTATTTATCAACACCCAATGACTTAATTGACAAAGAAAGTAGTTTGTTTCCTAATCTAGTAGAAGTGAGATGGTTGGTTGCTATATCTGTCACTTGGTGTGAAGTATATGCTGACGTGGACGTTTTGGTACAGATAGAAGATGCTCGTGCTGCTATGATGCTTTACATGAAGAAAAGGCGGGAATGGGAAAGGAGTGTCAAAGATTTTGTGAAGATGAGACTAAAGCAGAAGAAACGTAAGCCCAAGAAACATAAAAAAGAAGCTTCACCTGTTGCATCTTAGAATATCACTTTTCACAGGAAGAAATCTTGAATGTTGCAAGTTATAGAAGCTGGTGGCATTATGGAACAATATGTTTGATTTTTAGCAAGTCGCCAAGCGTTTAATAGGGGTTGTTTCATGTTGTAAAAGGCCAATTTTGAGCCAAAATTTTGTTTGAAAAGAACGCAAAAAAAGAACATTCAACTTTAGAAAAATGAGCAAATTTTTGAGAAAGAAAGTGAAGCTTTTTAAGTAGATGTTTCTTTTTTACTTATGCCAAACGACATGACTTAAAGTATTAAGACACCGACCATTCATCTATTTACCGATATTCTTTTTTTATTCTACTCACTCATGCTAAAATTGACGAATATTGTGACAATTGTTTATTTAGAGTCTGTTTGATATGTCTCTTACTTGGTTGGGTAATTTGTTGATTTTGGCTTTTTGATACCACAATTAGAATTTTTTGATTTGGTCCTATAGCCTTTGATTCATTCCTAGACATAACTTATTTGACTCAATCAGATCTGATTCTGATTTGGTTCTAGACTATCAAACAACCATTTAGTCTTGTACATACGTTTTATTCACTAAAAACATACATATATCATCATTGGGAAATCTCCAGAAAAGTCTTATAATTTTAGTCGAATTTATGAAAAAGTCCCAAACTAATTTTTGTTTACAGAAAAGCATAGAATACTGACTAAAACTTCGCAAAAACCCTTTTTGCCCGATTTCAAAGATTTAGCCGGTATTCTGTCCTTTTTCGTTAGTTTGCTCAAAATATTAGGATTTTTCTGAAAATTACCCGATAACCAAAATATTGGGACTTTTCTGAAAATTACTATGGAATTAATGGATATTGTTATTAATAAATCATTTATAAACATATAATTTTTTTATTATAAACAAAGAAAATACATTTTTTGCTAATTTCTAGGAATAGAATGGTCGACTATGTACTTCTCTATTTTTTGTTGACAACTTCAAAGTCCCTATGTTCCTCCTATGTATCGTTGTGGGTGTCATAATAAGAAGTAACTTGTTAGGCGTGACCAATATAAGATTTGATAATATTTATTAATACACACTCAATAAATGTCTACTTGCTATTAGGCATGACGCTATATGATCACATGTTATTAGAAAATTTCATTACACAATGATTCTTGAACATATAGATATTTTATTATGTTCTTTAACCTAATTACCACCTAACATCCATACATTACCCGATAACAACCATCAAATCACACACATCTATCGAGAGTGAAAAGTAAACTTTGAATGACAATTTAAATAAATAATCACCCTTCACTTGTTTCCATATAAACTATCATCCATTGATCATTTTTCACATTTGATAGATGTGTGTTAGGTGATGGTTGTTAACATGTGAGATATGGATGTTGAGTGGTAGTTAGGTTAAACAACATAAGATGAACACCAACATTAAAGGAACAATAACTGAGTACATCTCACCATCATATCCACAATAATGCATAGGAGGAACGTAGAGAGTTTGAGTGGTCAGCAAACAATAGATGAGTACTTAGACCACCAATTTATTCCTAGAAATTAACAACAAATGTATTTCCTTTTTTTATAATAAAAATATTTTTTATTTTTATAAATGATTTGTTAATAATAATATACATTAAATTCAATGGTAATACTCAGAAAAGTCCCAATATTTTGGTTATCAAGTAATTTTTGGAAAAGTCCCAAAATTTTGACCAAACTAACGAAAAAGGACAGAATACCAGATAAATCAGCGAAACCGGCCGAAAAGGGTTTTTTAGAAGTTTTAACCGGTATTCTGTACTTTTCTGTAAACAAAATTTAGTTTGAGACTTTTTCATAAATTGACCTAAAATTTTAGGACTTTTCTGGAGATTTCCCTATCATCATTCGTTCAATCATTTTAACTTAATGAAAAAAACTAAACAACTGGTAAACTAGTTACATGCCATGGTCTTTGTTGGTGATCAATGTCTTCGAGTACCTTTTGGTTATATTATGAAACATGAGGCGTGGAGTGCACACTCATATAATTTGAGAGGACTCGGTAGGGTTCGAAGGGGCATTGCCTATGGTTGGGTCTAGGGTAAGCTCCCTTAGTGGGGTCAAGTGGCAAAGCCCTTATAATCCATATAGGAAAAATGAGAATAGCTGAATTTTCTAGCCCCAAACCCAATGTTTGTGTCCATTACAAAAAGGGTGTCATTTCCTTTCAACTGTCGTCCTCGTATATAAGGGGAATATTATCGTTGCAAAAGAGAGAACATCTGAAAAACTGTTTTTTTCTTCTCTTGTATATTGTCTCTGACTGACACAATCAAAGCAAGGTAATTCTATGTTTTAGCATTTGGGATATGCATGTAATTCCAAATCGATTTTCTTGGATTATCCAAAATCATATTTAGTGATATCCCAAGCTATAGGGTCGAAATAAAAATTTTTGGAAAATATTTCTCATAAATGATCATTGCATTATTTAAGTTATTATATTTGATATTTGAAACCCAAAATCTGTATTTTGGTGAAGGGATGTAACCATAATCTATAATCTCGCCAATTGTTGTTGTATACAATTTTAACAACTTGCAAAAATAATCTTTTATTGATTGAGAAACGAAAAAGGTAAATTGATTATCAAACAAAAGTGTAGGGACTGTTTTTGGAATACACTAAAAGAAGAAGGGCGAAAGCTACAAAATCATTCGGAACGACAAGTATAACCCGAACCGAGAAAATGGCTCCAGTCATAATTCATAACCCCCCTACTTTCTTGATCGATAAAAAAAATCCCAAATCTCCTCTGTTGCAAATTCCGCTCGTTTCCCTTCATGCATTACACACTAGACTCGAGGCTCGAGCTCTTTGTTATAACTTAAAAACAAATTTTTGCAGGCTTGTGTAGAATCCAGCGATTGTTCTTGACGGGTTTTTGCGTAAGGGAAAGGAAATCGACGAGCGTAATCGAAGCAAATGGGTAGACCACCCAGTAATGGAGGCCCTTCCTTCCGCTTTAACCAGGCCGAGGTCACTATTATTTTTTCTCGTTAATACCCACTTATTATGTTTTCCCAATTGACTTTCTTGGTCTTTTGTTAGTTATTTTGAAATCCCTAAACGTGAATGTTTCGAATTGACGAATATCGTCGGTTTTGAACCACTTATAATCATTCTTGAGCTTGCGTCTAATGCCTGATTATTTGATTAGGCAATTGTAGTGGTTGGGTATCTGATATTTGAATCGTTATTGGTACTATTTATTCGTCCTAAAGACGGAAAATATAACGTTTGTTTGATGGGTACAGTTTGGATATGATAATTGATTCATTTGAAAAGATTATGTGTTTGACCACCCTCAGGTCCAAGATTTGTAGTGTATTTTTGTTAGTGGACTTGATCAAAACTTACATTTTTAAGGATAGTAGTGGATAATAGATTATCACTCGCATATACAAACATGCTCATGAAAATTTGGAACCTTTGCGTAGCAAAGGGTTACATTCTTGATATGTTCTTGAAATATGAATACTCACAAAAAGAATCACAGTTCACAAAATGAGTAAAACTCAAAGCAAATCTGTATGTTTCACTTGGATCCTCCAAAATAAATATAATACAACCTATTTATGGGGTTCAAAAGACACCCAAAAGGACTAATGAGTTAAAGATACAATGTTAGACTAATCAAATTATTAATGTATTAAAGACTAATCTTTAATCTAAATCCATCCCATGATTCATATAACTTGTAGACATTGAATATCCTAATCATTTATTTAAGTGAATTAAAGAAACCTCATAAAAATAAAGTTACTTATAACGATAAAAAAAAATGCAAAATTGCCATGCTAGATTGTTATTGGACTTAATGATGCTCCCATCTCTTACAAATTTGCTTTCCTATGACCCAATAGGGTCAATTAGAGTAATTTGGTAAAATTCGATCATAGAATTCAATTGGCTTGTTTGCCTTGAATTTCAGTAACTAAGATAAATAATGATTCTTTTATTTTATTCTTACTATCGTAATTGGGCCATGTTGAAATTTCAATGGGTTAGATGTAAGAAATAGCAATGTACTTTCAGATATTTGTGTGTTTTGGCATCCTACTTCATTTTTTTTTTCTACTACAACACTGTATTCTAATTCTTATTAAGGCATGTACTTTGGAAAATCTACCCAACATTGCTACAATTGGGTATATATTTCAAAGTAAAAAGATATAATATGAAGAAATGAAAGTAAGATGCTGTAATAAACAAATCAATGAAAGTACATTGCTATTTCTTGCTTTTACCTTTTTGAACGGTTGGGGAGTATGACTTGATGGTCCACCATCAGAAGGGGTCATTTCTTTTCTTATAGATAATTCAGAAAAAAATGTAAAAGAAATATTGATCTATGCTTTAGAAGTAATAAAGAAAGAAACAATTTGCAGCTCATCTAAAGATATTGGTGCCCAAATTGGGCACTTGAGGTTGCTTTAGGGGCTCTCAGTGTCATTATGTAAACAGCATGGACCATTTTGGTTTGTAACATAAACTGTAGGGGGTGTTAGAGTAACCTTTTAGATAACCTGAACATTTTTTCTTTTTCAAAGATTGCGGAGATGGAAACCATCTTGCAAGCACACAAAACTGCAATGCCTGCACGTGAAGTTCTTGTTACCTTAGCCGAAAAGTTCAGGTAAACAACAACCTACTTTTAAAATTTTTAAAAATCCTTAAATTATTCAGCAACATTTCACTCTATCATTATCAGATGTCAGATTCTGACATGAAATCTCTATGTATAGCAATTCTGAAGAACGCAAAGGAAAGATTGAAGTTCAAATGAAACAAGTGAGTTGATTACTATTTACTACTGCATACTTGCTTGATAGTTGAACCATGAATTATATAACATCTTGATGCATATATTCTACATTATTAGGTATGGAATTGGTTCCAAAATAGAAGATATGCTATCAGGGCTAAAGCGGGAAAATCACCAGGGAAGTTAAATATAACACAAATGACCCGAGATGATTCAACCATGGTTAAAGGTGTACCTCAAGCTACTCAATCACACACTGCTTCTTCAGGTGAGCTAACTTGTTACCAGTGTATGCAACCAATTTGGTTAAATAATGCATACATTGTTAAAAATTGTGAATTTGTTGCATAAATAAGTGTTTTACTTTTACCCTTTTATGCAGTATCTGTTAGATCTTTGCCTCAAGTACAACAACATCCAACTGTTCCTTCAGGTATAACAGATCTTGATTTAATTTAAAATGTTAATGTCATTTGTTGTGTAAGTCATTTTGTGTTGTTGATTAATTTCAGCTGCAGTTAGAACTTTCCCACAAGCACCTCAGAATCAAATTGCGTTTTCAGGTAGAACTTATGTTGTAACTTGCAATGCATATGAAACTCCATCAAATATGCATTATTTGACTTGTTTTTATGAGCAGTTCAAAATGCAGGAAGGATAGCAGATAATTCCCAAATGGAATATGAAGCTAAATCTGCTAGAGATGGTGCATGGTTAGTATCTAGCAGTATGAATATAAGTAACATTGAATGGATTGACACTTAAAAATGACATTAATTCTTTGTAATCTTGTTCATAGGTATGACGTGTCAACCTTTTTATCACATAGGTCTCTTGAAACGGGCGATCCGGTAATTTTACAACCCAGTCAATGCTTGATCCGTTTCTTTTCCATAGTGGATAACATGATTTTATAATTTGATTTCAGGAAGTTTTGGTGAGATTTGCTGGTTTTGGAGCTGAAGAAGATGAATGGGTGCATGTGCGCAAGAATGTGAGACAAAGATCTCTTCCATGTGAAGCATCTGAATGTGTAGCAGTTCTCCCTGCTGATCTCATACTTTGTTTTCAGGTTCGAGTCTTTCTATATATGAATGGCTAAATGCAAGAAATAGCACATTTGTTTATTATTTATAGAATTAAGTAGCACTTTCAGTTTTTATTTATTTATTACTTATGAAGACATTGTTTTCATTGTACTTTAAAATTTTACAGGAAGGGAAGGAACAGGCTCTTTACTTTGATGCCCATGTCCTAGACGCACAAAGAAGGCGGCACGATGTACGAGGTTGTCGGTGTCGGTTTCTAGTACGATATGATCATGATCAGTCTGAGGTATGTCGTGATATATAATTAAATATTATTTGTATGATAATGTTAATGATATCTTTTATTTTAATATTTCAGGAAATTGTGGCTCTTAGGAAGATTTGCAGAAGGCCGGAAACCGATTACAGGCTGCAGCAACTTCATGCTGTAAACGAGTCCCTTTCTGTTAAAAATGGCACCAATAATATTCATTCAGTCAGCACATTGAGAGTCTACCCTCCAGCTGAAGTACAACCAAAGCAGCTTAAAGTTGAACCACCAGTGGTGGTGGAAGCACCATCAAAGCGCCAGAAAGTAGAGTCAACGCCGGAAACACCCACTGTTCTGGTGGCTCTGCCAGGTGATGTACCACAAGATCAGCAAAATCTACAACCTGAAGTGACACAAGATCAGCATAAAGTAGAATCCGTGTTACCCACCCCTGCTCCATCAGAGCAACCATCACTAGAGCCACAAAAAGTGGAAACAATGGATGAAGTACAACTCGAGTTGCACAAAGTACAACCTGTCATACCTGATGATCCTTCTGGTAATGAAACTCAACTTGCAGGAGCTCTTGTGCCACCATCTGCCGAAACATCACCACCGTTGGCCGCTAGTGAGCCACCACATGAAGGGGGATCAGAGGTAGCCCGGCCACAGGAAGAACCAATGGTTTGTAGCTCTTCAGTTGAAGTACAAGCAGAATTGCCTCAAGTACAACCTGCAAGTGCGATTGAGGTACAAGCAGAGTTGCCTCAAGTACAACCTGCAAGTGCACTTGAGGCAGTAGAGACTAAAGTTGCTGAGGTACCAGAAGAATTGCCTCAAGTACAACCTGCAAGCGCAATCGAGGCAGTAGAGATGAAAGTTGAGGTTCCAGAAGAGCTGCCTCAATTACAACCTGAAAGTGCACCCGAGGCTGTAGAGATGAAAGCTGAGGTACAAGTGGAGTTGCCTCAAGTACAAATTGCAAGTGCAATCGAGACTAAACCTGAGGAGGTACAAGTAGAGTTGCCTCAAGTACAACCTGCAAGTGTAATCGAGGCTAAAGCTGAGGAGGTACAAGCAGAATTGCCTCAAGTACTACCTGCAAGTACACTCGAGGCAGTAGAGATTAAAGCTGAGGTACCAGCAGAATTGCATGAAGTACAACCCACAACTGCAAGTGCACTTGAGGGAATAGAGACTAAAGCTGAGGAAGCACCAGAGTTGCCTCAAGTACAACCTTCAAGTGCAATTGAGGCATTAGAGACCAAAGCCGAGGTACCATTAGAATTGCCTCAAGTACAACCCACAACTGCAAGTGCACTTGAGGCAATGGAGACTAAAGCCGAGGAAGCATCAGAATTGCCTCAAGTACAACCTGCAATGGAGACTAAAGATGAGGTACCAGCAGAATCGCATGAAGTACAACCTGCTACTGCAGTCAAGGCAATGGAGACTGAAGCTGAGGTACCAGCAGGGTTGCATGAAGTACAACCTGCAACTGCAGTTGAGGCAATGGAGACTGAAGATGAGGTACCAACAGAATTGCCTCAAGTACAACCCACAAGTGTACCCATGGAGACTGAACCTGTGGTGCCTGTTTGTATTAATGATTCAAACGTGGTTGAGGAGGCAATGGAGATGGAAGATGAAATTGAGCAGACAAAGCCAAAAGACACTAATGATGGAAAGGTGACAGGTGACATGGAAGAAGTATAATTTAGATGTTAGATGGATAGACTTATATTCTATAGATGTCATAAGTTAGGCTCAAGGACTTTATGTTTTTCTTTTGCTGGCTTGTTCCATAATCCATTTATGGGTGATTACTTTTTGTTTACTTTCCTTCTTAAGTAGAAAATTTGGCTCTCAAGATTTGAGTCTCAGCAATCATAGTCATAGTGTGTGAATTTTAAGTTTACTGTAGATTGACCTTGTAGACACTGGGTTTTATGACCATGTTTGTTGTGTATCTGATTTATCTCTCACATGATGTTTCAGGAGAGTGGAAACTAGAGAGGGGGTTGTTCAAAGAATAACATATTTATATGACTAGAAAGTTTAGGCGATATTTATCATATATAGTGTTTTTTTCAAGAAAAATGATGTTGGCTTATAATAGAAAATCAAGCATAAAGCATAAAAGCTTGACTACTCGATTCAATTGTTAAAAGATATTATGTTTCTATTTTTGGTGTTAGATACATGACGTCATGACGTTAGTGTTAATCAAATAGTCAAAGAAGAATCAAATTGTAAAGGAGAGATTAAAACTCTCAAAATAATGTAAGCAAATGAACAAGTACCAAAGCCATTATGGTTTAAAACTTGTTCAGTTCTCGATCAACTTAACTTTTTTTTTTTTCATCTGGTTTCGGTTGGAAAAAAAACTAGTCGTTTCAAACTTGGTTGGGATTCGAAACTAAAGCAAACCAAAAGCTAGTTTCTAAAATAATAGTGCATCATAACTAACCCAAATGTTATGTGTTCATTTGGTTTAGTTACAATTTCATTATGCAATTTTGTTGACTAACAAAAAAAAAAGATTAACATATATAAGGGGATGTATGATATGTTTTTTACTATATTAGGTAAGAGGCTGACTCGGTCAAATTTATATTATTTGATATCACAATTAAAAGTCTCTTATTTGATTATGTAGTCTCTGGTATGCCTTTTATTATCGGGTCTGATAAAAGGCTGAATCTGACTCAATTATGTTTTGACTCAATTCTACATGACTCAATAAACAACTATTAAATATTTACTAACTTTTTAAAACAATCATTCCCTAACTCTTTAAAGAAAATTGTCACTTTGCTTGGTGTCTAAACTCTAAACATGTATAGAGCTTCTAATAACTAACCCAAATGTTTTGTTATGATTTGGTTTAATCACAATTTTGATTATTCGGTTTCGTTGATAAAAACCGAAGTCTATCAAACATTATTTCATTAGAAAAATAATATGGAGATCCAAAAAAAGGAAACATAATAGCATAAACATATCTCTTTAAAATAAATTGTTACGTGTATGTGTCTAAACTCTACGAGCACCCACATCGGTGTTTTCAATTGTCTTTCAAATGCCACATAGACTCAATTTGCAATGGACGTCATTGATTTTTTTGCATCAGTTGAAAGACTTTTGAAGCCTTAATGGTGGGACCACAAACAATAAATGGAAATATATATAATTTAATATACATTCAATTTACATATGTAACGGAATGTGTATATATAATATATATTTTAATAATTATAACTTAAATTGTTAATGTGGCAATAGTCCATTTTGAAAGATTGTTGTTATTGTACTAAGTGAGTGATAATTACAAAAACTAACATTGTTCGTTTGAAAGATTTGCGTTGCACATGTAGATGATCTAAGCATTTATGGAACACAACTTTAGTACTTAATTTAGACTACAAATATATCAAATTTATATCGAATCCAAGTATAAAACACAAGCTCAAAATATATATTAAATCAAGTTTAATCTTATACGAGTTCAACTTACATTTGCTATCTCAATTAGGTTTTCAAATGAGTCGAATTTTTACTAGATAACATGGCTCTAGCTTGTTAGAACATGAAGGTCTTGAATTGAGTTTAAATCAATTTTGCTAAAACTGATAAATTCATAATGAACATTTTCGAACTTTTAGGATTCTTGGATCAAACTCCGTTTTTGTTTGAGTTGAGCTTCAGTTTATATTACGAAGGCTCGTTAATTTTTCGAGTTGAGTTCAAGTGTAGCTCGGAACCGTTGGATTGAACTCGTGAATTGTAAAAGTTTGTTTTTGAACGAATTATATAAATTTGAAATATAAAAAATAGAAATGAAGTGATTTTGATGCAGTTGCAAACTTGCAATGGACATTGACATTCTCTGCGGATACAAACGGAGACACGTCCACCGCCAGCCACCACCTCGCTCCTCCACTCTCACATACTAAAATTTCATCTTCTTCGTTGCTTTCTTCTGGAAACTTCCAAATTCCCGATCATTCACTGGAAAAATTACACGATGCGGTCGGTATTGCGATTTAATCAACACACAATTTCAACGAAGGCTGGTTCTATTGAAGGATTGCGTTATTCTTCAAATAGGTTAGGTTTTGGTATTAGGAGTATTGCCACAACCTGTAGAGCGGTGCTTTTGCCGCGGTTCGGTGGTCCTGATGTTCTTGAAGTACGAGATGATGTCCGTGTTCCTGATCTCAAACCGAATGAGGTACTCGTTCGAGTTCGCGCCGTTTCGGTTAATCCTCTCGACACTAGGGTGAGTTCTGATGCATTCTTTTAATTTCAGTTCTGTTTCATTGTTTGTTTATCGGAAATAGAATTCAGTGGCTCTAGATTGTGTTTAATTTCAACACTGTTTGTGTCATCGAAATTCGTTGAAGGTTAGGCGCATATGTATGGATTGTTATCACTTTCGATTGGTTTCTTAATGTGGAAGTTTAGAACACCTTAACAGCAAACTGCTCATCATGTGAACTTTAGGTATATTGCTCTTGATTTTGGATAAATCAGAGGCTAACTAATTTAGTAAGTGCATGCAACTTAGAAGTGCTTAAATTGATCCTTTCATCCATGGATTTGAGTCACTTCACAGAATCTGCGTAAACAAACATTTCTGGAAGGCTTAGATGACTTTGTGGATGCAATTTTAGTTTCATTTCCCCCTTCTGTCTAAATTATTCCTGCAATATAGTTGAATTCAGGTTCTATGGAGTGAATGCGTTTGTATACTGCTGCATCTGTTTGAACTTATTTGTATCTTTCTGGTTTGATTTGGAATTTTCTCATTGACATTTGTTCAATTATATGTGTTCCATCTCCTCTTTCAGATGCGAGCAGGCTATGGTCGTTCTCTATTTGAGTCCCTCCTTCCCCTGATTTTGGGGTCGTGATGTTAGTGGTGAAATTGCAGCAATTGGACAATCTGTTCAGACTCTTAATGTTGGGCAAGAAGTTTTTGGGGCACTTCATCCAACGGCTATGAGAGGTACTTACACTGATTATGCCATTCTTGCAGAAGATCAACTTACCCCAAAACCATCAACAATCTCACACGTGGTATGTATTATATTTTCTTTAACATCATTAACCTCTCTTTTTCTTGTTCATTTTCTTCATATCTATCCTAACTACATCAAATCTATATGCTGCATTCATGATCCCCCAGGATGCAAGTGCAATTCCTTTCGCTGCCCTAACAGCATGGCGTGCTCTTAAATCTACTGCCAGGATAAGTAAAGGGTATGTTTGTAATTTGTTGCACTTTGGCTATAAAAAGTTTATATAAAAAAAGAACTCATATTTTTTCACTTAATGTCTACAGACAGAGGGTATTAGTGGTGGGTGGAGGAGGAGCTGTAGGTTACTCTGCAGTTCAGCTAGCTGTTGCAGCAGGCTGTGTGGTTTCAGCTACATGTGAAAGTGAAAGCATAGATCGCCTCTTGGCAGCTGGTGCTGAACAGGCACTCGACTATACCTCTGAGGTGATGTGATTTTGAATGTTTGTCAGGGGCAAAGGCGTCTTTTACTTTTAAGCTGTGTTCTCAGTGTTTACTTTTCTATGATGTACAGGATCTGGAAGTAAGATTGAAAGGAAAGTACAATGCTGTTTTAGACACGATTGGTATACAACAAACGGAACAGTTAGGGATCAATCTTTTAAAAAGAGGGGGACATTACATGACACTGCAGGTGATAAAACAAAACCATGTTGTGATTAATGGATTTTTAAAGTTAGTTTTTATGTTGATATGTGTTGATTTTTGGTTTAGGGGGAGTCTGCATCATTGAGTGATAGATATGGTCTGGTTATTGGCCTTCCTACTGCTACATCCATTTTGATGAAGAAACAGATTCAATATCGGTTATCTCATGGAATAGGTAAAACTCATTCAAACAAGTATGACTGAGATCACTTTTCTAAAATCAATCTGATAAACTACAAGCATAGAACTGCTGCTGTGAATGATTGTACCTTGCTATTAAATGGTTGTACATATATGAAGAACTTGGAATGGAACTGAAAGATTAAAAAACAAAACCCTAGCTTTCGAGCAGCTAGAACACTCCAGAGATCATCTCTCACTGATTACGCTCCAAGATACCCACTCTCTAACATCAATACGCAATTAGACTGACCTAACTAAGAGAATGACCAAAATACCCCTCAATCTCTCCTTTATTACAGCTACTGTACTTGTACTTATTTCCTACCGTTAAAAATATTATGAAGTGTAACATGTTTCTATTTGACTTGATGCAAAAAGTATGATTTATGATAGACAGACATGGAAATGAGGGCCTCCCTATCAAGTATATATATAACTTTTCATAAATTTATATCAGTATATTGTAAATTTATAATTTCATTTAGAAATAGCAAATTTGTGTGTATGGCCTTGACCTTAGAAATTACTAAATTGTCATAATTGTCTTTGCATGGTCAGTAGTATGTACAGTATCACAGTGATTTCCGAAACTTGAAGTAAGTTTGTTTTTAATTTTTACATAAAGTATTTGAGAATGTATATCTTTATTTCTTATTTAAGTATTTCGTAAATTTATAAAATATTTAAGAATCTATATCATTATTATATTTTTTACGCATTTTGAAATTTATAATAATCAAACAAACAACTGTTCATTCAGCCCCAAAAGAAAGTACATATCATTTGTTTTAGACAGAGGGTTTAGGGCATTATTTATCCATTTGTCCGGGCAACAACATAACGAAGAAAAAAAAGAAAAGAAAATGTTTTCATTTTGGCAATTCAAGGGGAGTTAAGGCGTGACTGTTTGAGTTAAGAGCTTGTAATCAGTATGACTTATGGAGTGAGTGTTTTTGCAGAATATTGGTGGACTTATATGAGGACAGATGCCGAAGGTCTGGATGAGATTCGGAGGCTGACTGAGGCTGGGAGACTGAAAGTTCCTGTGCAGAAGACATTCCCAATTACACAAGTGCAAGAGGCACATCAAGCTAAAGATACAAGGATAATTCCTGGTAAAGTAGTTCTTCAAGTTGACTAGTATACTTGCATTTCTATGGATTTCTTCTTTCAGTAATCTCATGCAAAATATCACAACCAATTTCTATGAATTGGTGTTTAGTTTTTTTTTTTTTTTTTTTTTTTTTTTTTTTTACTAATTACATTGTTCTCTTCATAATAAAGCTCCAAGGAATTTTTTTAATTTTTATTTTACATATAAAGTGATATGTGACTTTATTTGTCTTTGCTACATTCATTTTAATGTCATAGAGTCGCAACATAATCTTTAGATTTATGTAACATAATGTTACATCTTATTTGGCTAAACCACAAACAAGGTAATCACATCAAATATAGCTTTTTTTTTTTGAATAAATTTAATTGTTTTTATCGTTGGTTCTGGTCTAAAATATTTTTCTACATTTGTATCTGTTAAGCAAAATTTAGATCTCTCATTAGTAGTCAGACTTATTTCGTATACAATAGAGGTCAGTTTCTTTGTACAAGAAAAATATTACTTATTTTCCACTATTTGTTTTTGTTTTACAAAAAACTATTGTCGTTAAAAAAAATACCATACTGGGAAACGAACTATTTGTTTTTGTTCATAAAATGCCATTAAAACCTATTATATAATGGAATTTATGAACATAAAGTTTCAGTTGCATACCTTTTAATAGTACTTATTTTAAATACTTTGTGAAAAAACAAATAGTTCGTTACTTATTTAAGTAACGACATTAACCATTTTTTAAAAATGTAACATTTTGTACAATACATGTTTCATCAAAATATTTGCATATCGATCAAAATCCAAAGTTCTATTCACGAAAAAGAAATAATAAAAATGCAGAGTCATAATTAAAATTATAGTCATTGATTTTAAGGAACAACTTTCAATTTAAAATTCTTCATATTGGAAAATGTGTAAGACGCAGAAAATGGTTTATGTTGAAATTCGGCCATAAAACTAATTTTATGTACTCATGTAATTATTAAAGTTTTTTTTTACTCATAGAATCATTTAACATTCTTGTAAGCAACACTGCAACAGGTATACGTTGACATTTATTAACTACTAGGTTATAACCCGTGGAAACCACGGTTTTATGATTAAAATTATTATATAGATAAAAAAAATATTAAATGTTAACAAAAAAATGCAAGGTATTATCGATTGTAAGTAATCATGAATTAATGTGATAAGCTTAATAAACATAATATTTTAACATTGATTTTGAAGCACTTCTTTGTATACAACATTGAAAATTTTATCTAAAATCAATAGCTTTAATCATTCTCTACTCTATAGTCTTAATAAATCAACATATAATTGACTGTGTGAAAACTGGTTCTCGCAAGATCTAAGCTACATCGTCTTTGATATTAAGTTTTAAGCAACAACGTCTCAAATGGAATAAACCTGTTATAACAAAAATAATAAACAGGTGTTGTGTGAAAGTAAGAAATTACAAAACTAACCTTGTCCTAGAACCATTTCATACAGGAAGCACTAAGCTTATCATCAAAAAAGCCTACACGTAATTGACTAGCCAAAAGAGGGATGTATTCTCTTATATAGCCAATTGGACACTCCAATGTTTGTCTTCTACAAGCTCAACAATTGTTGTTAGCCAGTGACGATTGTAACAAAAGATCAATACTAATAACCTAAGAAATTAACACCAAAACAAAACATTACAAATGACTTAATAAAAAAATGTAAAACCTATATAATTATAACGAACAATGTACGGTATGTATAGTAGAGTTATACCTGATTCACTTGATCTAGCTTACCGATGATATTGAAATGTACATATGGAACTCATCTTTTTAGAAGAGAAAGAAATGTAGGTATACCTTATTCACTCTCTAAGGAACCTTTCTTTGGCGACTCAAACCTATAATTTGGTCATTGAAACCAAATAACCAAAAGTCCAAGTTGTATTAAAATGTTTTTGTCATATTTTGTACATGTTTGCTGACTAATCAAACAACTACCTATCATTTTTTGCTTAGTATAGCTCAACTGACATCCATAACATGAAAACAAAATGTGATTAAAATATGCTAAAGTAACAAATTCATTATATTTACAAAAAGGAAGAAAAAATAAAAAATTATTCTAGCATTTCATCGAGCACCATGTGTGCATCATCAAACTTGTCATATTTTAACAACAAATCATTATCTTTTTTTCCTCATTCGTATTTATCATTTATTATTTTCATTCTCAACAACAATTCCAAAGCTTTAAAGCTATAATAATAATAATAATAATAATAATAATAATAATAATAATAATAATAGTTTACCTGGAGTATTTCTCCTATATGAGAGCTCTGCAACTCCATTCTTCTGTAACCTACAGTAAGAACCATTGCCCATAATGTCAACATAAAGAATTTAAACTAATTATATTACATAATACAAACACGAGCATGGTACTTCATTTAACACATTTCCTGATCTCATAACATCTGTTTTTCCATTCAATGAGAATATTTGCATAGGGGAGATGGAACCATCATCTTTTACAATTTGTCATTCTCAAGATTTGTACTTTGTATCTCGACCACCAAAGTTGCATTTGAAAAATAGTTGAAACATAATACCTAAAACAAATCACAATTCACATGCCCTGTAATAATGCTAATACAAATACCATAATGCTCCTGTATGAGAGGTAATTCTTGGTGCTCTGATGTAAAATAAACATATAACAAAGTTAGTGGAGTGTGACTTATATAAGATTCCCTAATACACGAGTCCGTAAATCCCTTGACCCCAACCTTGTTTTCCTATTTCCATATGTCCTTTCATCACATATAAGCACACGATTGCCATATGAGTTGTTTTCTCACCTGATTTGAACATGATATATATAATCATCAAAACTAATTTAAGTCTCAACACTATGAACGATTTTAGTTTAATATTCATTTAACCTAAATTCTAATTAAAACACATAAACCAAAAATGATCAATGAAAAGCATTAATATGTGTAGGTCATTGCTTTGATTTTTTCTAAATCATTTGGTTGAAAAAAACAAAAATGATCAATGAAAATCTGTATTATTAAGAAAATGTTGTAACAAATATGCAAATCATCAGCAGAAAAAACAAAAACCTTTCAGATTATTTTAGGAGGACGACTTGTAGACTCTTATTCAAGAGTAGCTTCAGAAAAACCATGACCATGTACACTTGGACACATCCGTAAATATATGAACACTTCGTCAATAAATTTTAGTACTTATGAAAATTCAGAAAGCTAAATTACAAAAAATTGAAGCAGTCATCCTTGTTTTGTTTCAGAAACATACATACACAAAATTTTAGAAGAAAAATATACCTGAGATTAGATTAGATTAGATTAGATTAGATTCATCATGAACACAAAACATTGGAAACTACATACAAACAAACGTTAAGGGACAAGGGATCTTTCTATTCAAGGGAAACAAATATGGAATGCGGTCTTAAACCGTGGTTACTCCCCCTCTTCAATTATGTAAAGAGGATTTGGTCAAGGATTTCACCTTCAGCTTTAGATTGCGAGGGCTAGACTTTAAATCTAATTATAAGTAGTCGTATATGTCCCGACTTGCAGCCACCCTCCTAACCGATTTATATACACAAACGTCATCTGGCCCTGAATAAACTGGGATCAGTTAAAAGGGAAACCAAGAATCTTAAAAGATGAGAAAATAAGAATCGATTGCAGGTTCTAGTTCTAATAAACAATTTGCACACTGACCTTTTAAACACCAATTGTAGATCCTCATAACCTAAAATCAAAGTAGAACATGACGGCGATATAGGAATCAAGATGAAAAGTGGTGGCCATAGTGATGGAATCAGGTGGTTGAAGGAGTTTTAGGGTTAGACAGAAAAGAGAGGGATACAGGTGATTGAAGGCAATACAGGGAGGTGACGACAACGTTTTAACGTTAGAGAGAGAAAGGGCTGAAAGAATGGTGACAGTAGTGATGACTGTTCAGTTGTAGTATGTTGGAGGTCTGTGGATGTTTATTGAAGTCGGCGTGGGCAAATGACGGCTACATGTTAGTGATACCTTTTGAAGCAGGTGAATCAAAAAGCTAAGATGCCAAGAGATACCCCGAGACAGAGGAATAAACAAATAGTAGCGATGTGGAATATTGGTAATTCAAACTTCCAATTTTAAATCCCTCCATTTACGGTGTAAATTAGCTGGAACAAAAATCACGGCATAGATATTGCTGGTTTTAAAGTCTACATTTTATCGGAACGAATTATAGACGAAAACTTGAGCAGAATATGTCATGTGGCAAAGTAGAGTTTTAGAAAACTGCCATGTGACATAATTGAGTTTTGTTTATTAGAGGAGGTAGATTTTGCATGTAATTTAGGCGTTGTTGTTGTTGTTATTATTATTATTATTATTATTTTGAGAATTTCATGTATATCTTTATAAACTTTTATAATTACGTGTGTATATATATATATATATATATATTATATATATATATATATATATATATATATATATATAATTTAATCATATCTAATATATTAAAAAAATATCGTCTTTATATTGATTTTTTTATTAAGAGAATAATTAACTTGAACATTACAATATTATCCTTCTCACACATTGTTATTCTTGACATATTTACTTCATACATCCTTATAAAATAGAGTAAATTACTGAAATCGTCCATGTAGTTTGATCAAAATTACGTGTTTCGTCCCTAACATTTTTTTTGCACTCGGACCGTCGCTGTGGTATTTATTTGTTTCGGTTTTGGTCCCTAACATGATTAAAATGACTATATTACCCTTTTTTTCAAAAAATTGTATTTTTTTATATTCGTTAATATTTATTTATTTCTTTTATTCTTTTAAAATAAATAAGAATACAACCCCTTTAAGCTAACGTATAACTATAGACATATACCCTAATTTTGAGTCGGTGACCACGACCTAGACATCTTATTCCTCTTTTCTCACGCCAGCTTACTCTGTCGTCTCTCTTCTACGCCGGTCACCTCCTCCGATGTGTGCACAGGAGAAGCCATCACTAGAACGAGATCGAGGACGCTAAAC